TTCTTCTTCTTCTTCTTCTTCTTCTTCTTCTTCTTCTTCTTCTTCTTCTTCTTTCAACTCACTGTGAGAAGACGGTCAAAGGCGTGAGACTGAAACCGGGAATTCCCAGAGTACCCACAGGTTCGGCCTATCGTAGCCCGATTTACGCCCTGAATGTCGCATGTCTTCCGTAGGCTAACGAGTGACCACTATGAGACAGTAGAATAGAGGGGTAGGGTTAGGTCTCTTCTTTATTCTTGTGTTTGTTGGGTTGGTCGCTCATTACGGAAGTCTCTCCAAATATCCTACCCTAAACACATGCGGCTAAACGTAGACTCGTAGGATGACGCAAACTATTTTTAGGTAAAGCGGCCAGCTTGTGTGACATCAGACCCAGATACCCCTCTGATCACATGACTACATCTAAATTTAGCCAACCGCATGGCACGACGCTTTGGTGTGATGTTTTTCCAGGAATAATAAGACTTAAATGAAGAGTAGCGCTGTAAGTTATAATAGGAATCCATCTCTATACAATTTCTACAAGTGCACAGAGACTCGGCCTACTCTCTGCTCCGATCTGCTGGATCGGTGGCGACTTATTTCATAGCAATGAAATGTTGATTCCTGCTCACCGAAAGCCGCTGCTCCCTGTCAGTGGGCTGTCACCAGATGTGTGATGTCATAGGACTGGACTGGGGACTTCTTCAACTGACCATAAATCTCAACAAGGAAACGTCATAGACAAAATCTGATTAGATATTTGAAATCAGCGATCCAAATTCTACAGGTTCACCGAGCAGAATTTGAGTTTGTGAAATATTTAAAAAATCAGTAATATAATGGGTTTTTTAAAATCCAAAGATTGTAGTTATTGAGTCGAGAAGTGTGCTCAGTGTGTTGTGCATGTGTGTTCAAGAAACACAGTTGTTCACACATTTTGTTAATATTTTAAAGTGAACAGTGCCTTGGTTTCCGCTGTATGCCAACAGTCCCCCGTATGGGATAAAAGAGATACATTTTAAGCAAATCTACATTGAGGTAAAAAAAATTAATTAAAATAAGTAGCATGTGCATACCGACTCGATTCTTCTTTCATTTTGGAAGAAAGCATGTTGGAATTTACAACACGACGGTCGTTCACAACATGACACTTAAAGTAAAGCCCAACTTGTCAAATCTAGATCTCGTTCAGAGGAACAGCCTACACGCACTGAAAATATGTGTTCTTTATGTTCGCCCCTCGGAAAGATCAGCGTAGAGCGAATATGTCACCGATACGCCGAAACATATTTGGTGGCCTGTCTGTCCTCGTCCTAAGCCTAGAATGCTGCTGATTCTCAGTTTTCTGCATTGTGTGGCGCTTGAATAGTCTCATTTTTACCGTACAGGAAAAGGGTATTGTATAATTGTTTTACTTTCCCTCATGTCTCACACCTAGCTACCAGTTTTCCAATTTTTCCTATAGGCCTATTGATGCGCTGAACACGAATATCAACTTCATTTCTCTCGCAAATTTATAGTTTTTGAAATACTTGATATTTTTTAATCGATCTATATCACACTAAGCCTAACAGCATAGTAATTTGCGCACATTGGACCAATCGGGAGGGGAGGGGGGGTGTTCAGAGGGGCCTGCCCCCCAGAAGTCATCATCATCATCCAGTGCCAGATCTGCGACAGACATCGGCGATCATGGTTTTCCATTCATTCCCCCAGAAGTTTAAAAAAAAAATCTGGGGGGTTACAGGGGGGCATTAACACATAATTTGATTTTTTGAAGATCAGTGTGAAATGTTCTTGAAAATAATTGATTTGCTACAGTTTTAGTGGCTTTATGTGTGATCTGGTGCAAACAATATTGCAGTTTGACCCCCGAAGCAGTGCATCTGTTTGCGGGAGTGAAAGTAAAAATTTACCCAGGAAAAGTTCAAAGATTGCATCGAAAAATGAAAGAGCTCAAACCTGTCAATGTCTCAGTGAATGAAATTGTTGACATTCGTGCGAAACGAGCGGTTTGTGTCGCTACCGGAATGCAGAAATGTTATTAACATACCGGAAACCTTGTAACCAATCAGAGCATGGCTGACAGGCTGCAGTTGGCCGCAAGTGTGAAATTTTGCAGTGCGGAACACATCGATACGGATAATACGTCAAGCCACTGACCCAGCATGTCTTTCCATGGGGTATCTCCATGGCCTTCTAAAGATAGTCTATGGGTATTCCAGGATGTGATGACATCACATTGCTAAAATTAGCAGCATATCAGGCGGGTGCGTCGTTCTACGTTTAGCCGCATCTGCCGTAACCCTTCCCCTACCCCTAGTGCCCCTACCCCTAGCCCTCTATTCTACTCTGTCTCATAGTGGTCGTTTGTTACGGAAGTCCTCCCATTTTGTTGAATCTGAGTGTTTGTTATAGCAATGTGCGCATCAAGTTGCGTTGCAGTGTAGCGCCTATCATCGTACAGACGACAGTACTGACTGGGCAGTAGTAGTTAAGTAAGTAGTGTAGTACTGTAGTACAGAATACAGAACTTGATGTACATTCAGCAACGTTTTTATTTTTATTATTTTCACAAACTAGATCTAGTGCGCAATTCGTTGTAGATCTAAATATCAGATAGTGTCTAAGCAAGCTTTCCAATGTCAAGCAGTCGGGGGAGTGAGTGGGGGGGGGGGGGGGGAGATTTTGTGAAGTGTTTGTACTCTGTATCCCTGCTGATGTTCCACATCTAGAATGGTTGTGCCTATGCCTCCCCACCCCCTCAGACACACATACTAACAGCTACACGTGTGCTTGCCGCCCATCTTCCAACCTCGGCACGTGCTGTGACAGGTCATGCCTTATGTCACACTTGTGTCAACAATGGGCGTGTGTTGGTGTGAAAAAAGGCTTCTGGTTGGTTGATTATAATGCGATAGGCTAGGCTAAGCGAATACTGATCTATGCTGAGGCGCAAGTGCGATTCATGTTGACCATGGTCCCTTTGAATAGAGTAGATAAGCTTCTTTACGGGTGAAAAATGGTTGAAGCCCCTTTAGCAAGAGCTGGGTGTCCTGCAAGTAGCTTTGTTGAATCCAAGTTTGCTCTTTGTTAGTTGAATCAGTTATTTTGTTGATTTTAATGAATCTCCCTTTGGTGAATCCGAGTTCCACTGTATTTACTGTTTTCTAGTGCATTATTGATAACTGGTTTGGGGTGAAGGAAGTTTAAAATGTATTTTGTAATATATATATATATATATTAATTTAAAAAATACATTTTCAACCTTTTTTGGTAGTAGAAAGGAGTTGTAAATTTAGTCAATTAATACTTAAAAAGAAGGGTGTAAAACTAGAGTAGAGCCAGCCATATTATGTTTAGTCCTGACTGGCAGGTTTACCCATGCTGTCACTTGTTTTAACAAGATAGACAAATAAAAAATGAATTACTATGCTCTGTAACGATGGCAATAGCAGCAGTGATCATACATGATTAGTAGAGATGATCAAGATTATTCTCATTCTCTAATTATCTCTGTTCTCTCACAATTTCCATTTCATAAAGCAACAAGCCATCTTAGGATAGACTGATCTACTGTAACTGGTAGAACTTAATCTAATTTTTTCAATAGAAGCTCTGAAGCCTTCTAGCCTTCCAGGAGGGCCGGGCTCCTCTGTAAAGCGCTTTTATCCTTGTGGATCTTACTCTTTTTAAGACCTTGAAATCCTCCCTCATTATTTATTGTAATCTTACTGCCTAACAGCATTTTATAAAACATTTTATAGCATTAAGTGACAAGTATTCTTGTTTTCCAGGACTTTGATGGCCAGCGGAGAGCTGAACGATATTTTCAGGTCATCATAGTGCTGTACGCGGTGAGAATTTAATTTCTTTTTAAGAAAATGTTTGTTTTGGAATTACTTATTTTCTCCCTATACCGTTAGGTACACAAAGTGGAGCACAGTTGATGTTTTGCTTGCCTGTCCCCAGCTACCTCCTCCAGTCTTGGCTCATCTAGGCCCTGGATGATTACCTCATTCCTAATTGTGCTGTAACTTACAGTTGGACTACCTCTTTTTCTTTTTCCAGTTTCATTGTCATTGTAATAACAATCTGTATTTGTGGTCAACACAGTTATGGCTGGCATCAGAAACAGTATTCAAGTACAAGAAATGTCCTTAAGTGTCCTCAGCTTTACAAGAAGTGTCTTTACCTTTTAACAAAAAGTGTCCTCACCTTTTCATACAAAAAGTGTCCTCACCTTTTCATACAAAAAGTGTCCTCGCCTTTTCATACAAAAAGTGTCCTCACCTTTTCATACAAAAAGTGTCCTCACCTTTTCATACAAAAAGTGTCCTCACCTTTTCATACAAAAAGTGTCCTCACCTTTTCATACAAAAAGTGTCCTCACCTTTTCATACAAAAAGTGTCCTCACCTTTTCATACAAAAAGTGTCCTCACCTTTTCATACAAAAAGTGTCCTCGCCTTTTCATACAAAAAGTGTCCTCACCTTTTCATACAAAAAGTGTCCTCGCCTTTTCATACAAGAAGTGTCTTCAGCTTTACAAGAAGTGTTTCCACCTTTACAAGAAGTATCCTCAACTTTACAAGACTATCCTTACCTTTACAAAAAGTGTCCTCAACTTTATAAGACTGAGAAGTGTCCTCAACTTTACAAGACTATCCTTACCTTTACAAGAAGTGTCCTCATGGGCTTTACAAGGAGTGTCCTCACCTTTACCAAGTGTGCTATACACCATATTTGCATTGCATGAAAAATCTGCATCAGGACTTGGGTGTGAAATGAAGCCATGGCTATGCTAAGGAAGAAAGTACTCTGTCCCAGAGCAGGATTTATTCAGGAACTTTTTGGGTGCAGGAGATTCTCTTGGCTCTTCTTTTGTTACTTAAGGATTTTACTTCAACCTTTCTGTACAGATTCTCATAATTGTGAACCTTTCTTATTATCAGATCTATGATAGAAATAGAGTACAAGTAAACATTTTTGGTGTATTTGAGGGTTCAGGTAAAAAGCTATTGAACTGTCACTTTCTCTTTCCAGTCTACTTGGCTTTTCTTTTCCCAATAGCATGGCATTACAGCAAATCTGTTAATCTACCTCTGTAGCCTACTATTTTTGTATAAATTTTTCGATGTACATGAGACTAGTTTGGTATGCACACAAGCAGTAATTGCTAATTCACTGTCTGCAGACACAGACACATAAACACTCAGACATTCTCTCCTTTTCTGATATTAACACGTCTTGAGTTGTCTTAAAATATAGCTTATTTTATATTTTAAAATATTATAATTCAGCATAGTGTCTTGTTTTCATAGTGGCCATTGATTTTTTACTGAACTGTTTGATTTTGTGGACAGATTGTTGGCTTCGTCTGGGGATACGCCACGCAGTCATTCTCTCAGACCTTGTACATCCTCTTTGCTGGAGTTTTCCTTTCTTCTGTGGTAAGTTGGTCAGGATAGTACTATTATTTTCAATAGCCTTTTTGTAATGTCAAGATTCATTGTCACTGTCAACGAAGAAATGGCTGCATACCCAGGTGTCAATTGTAAATGTGGACTGTAGAAAACGGAAGAAAATTAATAATAAATTGCATTTGTATTGCTCATTTTCATCTCGATGTTATGCTTAGTGCGCATTACAATAAAACTAGGTGATGCAAATATGACACCCCTTAACTCTTTATCTCTGAGGGGGATAAACCCACTATACCGGGGCCCTCTTTTGGTACAAAGTCTAGAATTGTCATGTACCTCACTTAATTGGTCATTAAATCAAAACGAATGAACATATTTCAATAGTTCTTTTTATAAATGAATCCCATTCATTAAAAGAGACCTGTTTTCGGCAATTGCTGAAAGTAATTTGACGTTGAAGTCGTCATAAAGGAATGTGCTTGGAGCAGCTTGCAAGAGATAAGGAGTTAAACCTAACATCGGTCTTCTAAAAACAGCTGTAAACCAAAAGAAAACAAAATACCTGATTTTTTTCGCAACCTCTCTAAACCGAAAACCGAGCTAAAGTGAAGAATATCTGGCAGTCCTGCAGATTCCAGTTTGAAATCGACTACTGTTTTTGAAGAAAAAAAATGTGTATATTGACCCTACTTCATTTACACGAGTCTCCCTTAAAACACAGCTTACATCATGTTGTTGTATGTCTCCGGCAGCTGACACTTGTGCCGTGGAAGATGTACCGCAGCCAGCCGCTACAGTGGCAGCCAGCGCGCGTGGAGCAGGACAGCGCGACCCCCAGCCCCCCCGCCGTGACCGGGAACCCTGGCTCTCAGAGCAAGTCCAAGAAGAAGAAGATCAAAGAGTAAACTCTGGACGGGTGGATGGATGGGATAGGTGCTGATGTTTTAGATTGATGAGATAGATGATGATGTCTTGGATAAAACAGATAGGTGGGGATGTCATGGATAAAACTGAAATATGGGGATGTCATGGATAAAACTGATATATGGGGATGTCTTGGATAAAACAGATAGATGGGGATGTCTTGGATAAAACAGATAAATGGGGATGTCATGGATAAGACAGATAGATGGGGATGTCATGGATAAAACAAATAGGTGGGGATGTCTTGGATAAAACAGATATATATGGGAATGTTTTGGATAAAACAGATAGATGGGGATGTCATGGATAAAACATATAGATGGGGATGTTTTGGATAAAACAGATAGATGGGGATATCTTGGATAAAACAGATAGGTGGTGATGTTTTGATTGATGAGGGAAGTGGTGGTGTTTTGGATGGATGAGGTAGATGGGGATGTTTTGGATAGATGAGAAAGATGCTGATGTATTGAAGAGAGACATAGCATGTGTATGACAAGGAAAATCTGGTGTTTGTAATTGATGTCTATTGGCACAGTGAGGTTTTTAGTATTTTGTTTGTTTCGGGGGGGGGGATAAAATTTGAGTGTGAAAATCTGTGTGAGAGGTTTAGTCATGAAATATTTTGTGTGATATATTGATCTATGGTTATAATGGAATGTTGTGATTGTGCTTTAAAAATTAATTTTTTTAAAAAACATTTAGTTTTGGTTTTGGGAAATGTTATACGGTATGTGTTCATTTGTTAGGAAAAGTGGTCACAGTGATGGTACACTCCTATCTGTTAGCCTAAAATTCCATTCTATAAAAGTTGAACTTATTTTTTTGTTTTTGTAGTTGATGTTCGAGTTATTTCAAGCTGTTAATTAATGAGTTCAGCAAAAGTAAAAGAATTTAGAGCTACTGAAAGTTCTTGCCACTATAGATAGCAGTGATAATTGAATGCAGAAGAAGAAGAAGACTGTGTAGTCTACCTGTAAAGTTTCACTAGAATTAGCATAGTATAGTTTAGCACAGTGAAATTGGTAGTGTACAGAAATCTTTTTAAATTGTTATATATGAATTCAGCTAAGTACGTGTTTTAAATGCACAGAATATACATCTATAAAAAAAATGTGCGACCTGAATATCTGCTGTCTATGCGTTTTCTCGACTAGTTTGACCTGACATCATTTCCCGTCTTAGTCTCTTCTGCTGCTTGGGAATCAACTGGTATGTCAGTTTCTGCAATATCTCCAGCATTCTTCTCAGCCGTTGAGTTTGATGGATTGTGCAGACTCAGGTTTTAGTGCATATTTTGTGAAAACGCTGTGAAATTTACAAGAAGAGAATTGACTGGTGGCCAACACTTCCCTCAGTGATGTGTTTTCAACAGTATGTAATACCAGTACTGTTTCTGCCAATGTAATGGTCATCATGAGACATTGATGAAAGAGTTTTTTATTATAATTATTATAATAAATGTGAGGCATCGTGGTGAAATCAGGTGCTTGTCAAAATAATGAAATCAAAGAAACCGCCATTTTTCTGCCTGTTTGGCAGTTTTTATTGAATATTCGTTTTTTGGCTCAACACCGATTATGTCCTTGTTAAAACATATTTCTGTGTGGATTTTACGGAAATATGATGATTAAAGGCACAAGAGATGTAAATGGTTGAAATCTTTGTTGTGTTTCTTCAAGTACTAATGTGTTAATGAATCGTTGTATGTCTACATGTACTGATGTGTTAATGAATCGTTGTGTGTCTACTAGTACTGATGTGTCAATGAATGAATCGTTGTTGTGTGTCTACAAGTACTGATGTGTTTACATTGCTGTATTACTTCCTTATTATTTATTTCCAATAAAAATTTTGGTAATGGATTAATATATTTTCTTCACCTTTTCTTATTTATCTTCTTAAGCATTTTGGGCAAAACTCAGTTCGTATCCCCATCTCATCATCCTCATTCTTTATTGTGGCATGTGAACATTTAGAAGTGGATGGTTGGTGGGTGCTCTGGTGTGGTTTGCTCCTTCTTTCCAATCAAACATCTATTCTATCGTCCTTATCTCTCCTCCTCCTTTTTTTGTATGTTGCTCTCTTGTAATACATCTATTCTTCGGCACTTATATGACCTTATTGTATAGCAAGTGCCGCTAAAGTCTTATGAAAATGAACATTTAGAAAAATTGCAAGTACAGTAAGAAAAAAAACTAGTTATACCACAGCCACCCTTGGGACAAGCATGAATTTGGTGGTTTGACGAGATTCCTCTGTTAAAAATCCTCAACTGTCCGATGTCAAGGGTAATGATTCTGCTCATGTATTTAGAGCTGAGAGTCTTCTCTCTCTATCTCTTTCTTCCTCTGTGTGTGTGTGTGTGTGTAAGCAAATTCACACCCAGCTGAATATTACGTAAATTTTTTTAACTGAATATTTCTGGCGAATCAAAAGCTCGGCGAATGTGTGCCAAGTGCCTGAAAACCTACATTTGGTTCACTCGATGCCCGTCTGTCCACTGTCCACAGGCCACTTCAGACCTGCGGTGAATTTGGATTCTTCAGTATGAATATGATGGAGTGTGTAGAAATAAACTAGCAACAGAATGTAGCTCATGTGATGGGGTATGTAGAAATAAACGAGGTAGAGGGTGTAGCTCATGTGGAACACAAAATGGGCACGACCCAATTTAATATGGAACAAAAAAAATCAGCATCGATGTCCGATGTAATTCATATGTTGAAAAATCATTTTATTTAATAAAACGACCGTTATGAACATTAAAAAAATAATTGATTGATCAGTAGCCCACATATCAAGAGGTAGCACCGCAACTATTGTAACTCCAGTTTTTCAAGTGTAGCAGGACAAGCGAAAAACTGATTTTTCACCACTAAATTCATCAACAACACCTGAAATTTCACTTTAAAATGTATTTTCACAAAATAATTGCACAGCTACGAGGTTTTTACATTTACAGAGCGTGCACACCTACCGTCATTTTTTTCTTATCGCGACATTATGCTTATTGAACACATGTTTTTGAGAACCTTTAGTGCAGAAATTGTGTTCACTTTAACAAGTTTTGCCACTAAAAACTATCACTGGTTAGCAGTGAAGTAGTCTATGTGTATCCTACAAAATGTGCATTTTATATACATTTATGAAAAAAAGTTTTTAATCTTGCCGCAGTTGTTGTAGAAAAATATTAAGTTAAGACAAATTGATACAAAATAAGCTGTTGTGCAAAGTTTGGAGACATTGATTCACCCATTATATAAATGTTTGAAGAAAAGTTACTCCAAAAATTTTTGACCGCACTACAGGCCAATAGGCTCAGGTTTTATTCTGAATCAGAGAAAACAACTTTTTAAAATTACAGAAAAAATACAAGCAAAGAAAATAAAAATCTAATTAGGCCTATTATACTAATTGTAGATGAAATTGTTTCTGGCACATGTTATGAACAAACCAGAAGTAACACGAGTAAGTTACCACACTACCTACCATGTAAACTTTGTTTGATAATCAAGAACCTAAACTAGTCAACAAAAGTTAAGGAACATTTGGAAAAACGTGTATAACTTCGAAAGTAAACTTCAACACGAAATGAAATCTGGCACACATTTAAATAAACATGTGTATAACAAATAACAAAAAAGAAAATTAAGTTATTCCTTTTTAACTTGCTTGAAAAGTTCATTGAGTTTGGTAGGGGTTAAAATCCCAAATCCCAAAATTGGCAAGTGGTTTCGAAGTTATGTTAACTTCTGACTACAACAAAAACAAAACAGTTCCGATGATTTCAATAATGAGTATGCCCACCACGATTGTTCTGGCACTCAGTACACCGGCTCCTCATCGAGTTCATGAGGTTGGTGAACACTCTCTGAGGCATCGCCTGCCACTCTGCCTGCAGCATCTGAAACAGTTGCTGCGCGTCTCCTGGAGGGGGGTAGTTGTCTCTGACTCGACGTTGCAGCTCATCCCAGAGGTTTTCTTTGGGATTCAAGTTCGGACTGCAGGCCGGCCAGTCCATTCAGTTTATGCCAGCCTGCTGCATGAAGTTTTGGACAGGCAACGCTCTATGAGGTCGGGCGTTGTCATCCTGGTACATCGCGTGTGGCCCCATCTGCTGCAGAGTAGGTAGTGCTAATGGGCGGAGTATCTCATCTCTGGTAACGTATTGCAGTGAGATTCCCTTGCACATGGTACAGAGGTGTTCTGTGGTTCAGACTGAATGCACCCCAGACCATCACGGAACCACCACCAAAAGGCACCACTTCTCTGACGGCTGCATCGAGGAGCCGCTCTCCGGGTCGCCTTCAAACCCTGATACGACCGTCATTGTGATGCAAAGATAACCGGGACTCGTCCCTGAAGAGAACGTTTGCTCACTGTTGACGTGTCCATCTTACATGGCGCCGGCAAAAGTCAAGACGAGGAGCCCTGTGTGCTGGGGTGAGACGCTGACGGACTGCTGGTCGACGTGCATTAAGTCCGAACTCATGAAGACGTCTTCGTACTGTCTGACAACTAATGTTAACACAAGTTGCCGCTCTCAGCCGTGTCTGAATGCGATTTGCAGGAGCGGATCTCGACTGCAGAGCTTGTCTATGAATGAATCGGTCTTCCCTTGCATTAGTGGCTCTAGGTCGACCTGATCTGGGTCGCTCTTGGGCACTACCAGTGGCGTTGACACGCTGAATCAGCCGTGAAATGACAGAAACGGACACTCGAAGACGTGTAGCAACTTGTCGGAGTGAAACACCATCTTGTACCCAAGCAATGACTCGTCCTCTATTTACCTCAGACAATTTCTGCCGAGGAGGCATGTTTACGCTTAGCCCTACAGCAGCAGAATGGTGTATCCACAGGGCAAATGAGTGTGTGCAACTCACTCACGAGACATGAATCTTGCACGTGAAAACTGATTTTTGAGCGTTCGTCATTTTTCTTGACTGTAAGAGCGAGAGAATAAAAATCGACAATTTGAAAACATTGGGCCTTTTTGCCACCTCCCCAGCTCAGCGCACAGGAGTCACGTGCATTTCAAACACTGGTGTGTACAAGCCCATTAGTCAGAGAGTAACAATTCACCAATATCTAGATCTAGCTTAACTAGTAAAAGTAAAACCTCGAAAGAATGCATGCAAATATATCACTGTTTTTACAGTGCGTTCCGTAACTTTTGTTGACTAGTTGAGATCTAGGATGTTATGAATTTAAAAATTTAGTTAAACATTTTTCATAACCGTGCCATAACACATCGGATCATAACAAAGCAGCAAATTTAAGTTTTTTATCCCAAAATTAACATACATGTACTAATAATGGGTCCTTTGCACACAATTTATACTTTCTGATAATGAGACATAATTATGTGGTATCTAATCACTAGATGAAGTAATGGGTTATCTCCCTTCGATCTGTCGCGTTAACCTGAGCCAGGATCCTCACTAAATAAAAGCTTCGCGAGCAGTTACCAGCCTGTAGTAATTTATTTTTGGCTGATATCTTTAATTCCATTCTTTAAAAAATACACCATGAATGTATTGACCAAGGCTTTAATGAAATAGCATTTTCATAATCAGCACATCACTCGAGGAGCGAAATTTGATGCTGAATTACAAAGTTACATTATGTTTTAATTGTACTTTGTACTCTTCCACATTACACATTGTCTTGTGTTCGCTTGCGGCACACTACAATAGACTACATCACTGTTAGATCTATCCATATTAATATAGATCTATTACCTGAAATCTACAAGACAAGGGTGAGGAGGTGGGATGGGCAGGGTGGGAGCAAATTGGCGAAAAGCGTTTGATCTAGAAATTGGCCTAGCTCGTAGAGACTTGTGTGTGTGAAATATGTGTCCCGACGTGGTGGAATCAGGCGCTCGTCAATGTTTGGGCATGCGGAGTTATTGGTATCATCTTAAGGCTTGTTAATTTGTCTTGCTTCCGATGAAAAAATTGCTAATTTGAAAAAAAAATATACAAAGATAAAAAAAATCCTTTAAAACCAACTTCTGTTGAGCATCAACAATATCCCCTACCCCACCCCACCCCACCCCAAGAAATATAATCCGTGTGTAAGTTGTGGAGAATACAATGGAGAATAGTGATGGAGGTGTGGTTGGTATGCCTCTCTACAAGGGTTTTTAAAAAGTTACAACAAACTTGGTTGATGCCTTAAATTCAACTTCTCAATTTACAATCACCAGTCAAAAAATTGAAAGGGTTATGGAACACCAAAATGTACTGAAAGATGAAAGAAAAGATTTTGAAAATAAAGTGTACCGTTGCCAATATTCGAATTGTTTATATATACATGTATCTACTTATCAAATCATTAACCTTCCTCTCCGCGCGTGTGAGTGTATGTGTCTCCATCACCTGTGTTCTTTGTGTTTCTCTGACACACTCCACTGCTGCGGTGAAGACTATGTTTGAACTTCGATGGGTCATCATGAAAGTATTGACTGTCTTGTAAATGAAGCGTGCCTGAAGCCGAAGTTACCGTGCTTTAAGGCGTGTGATTTATAATATAGTAAAAATTCGGTAAGACAAGAGCCGTTCAGCGTGCTTGAGTCCGAAACGTTCTTTATGCCGGCGTGCTTAAAGCCGGCACGGACTGCATTTGTTTCAAAAGATATTATCATTTTAGTTTTAATGTAACCACATGTAATTTCTTCTTATTTTATTATTTTTCTCTTTTGTAAGTTACAGGAACACCAAACTATGTTACATACATATTGTGGAGATGATAGGCTGATCATCATTTCCTAGGTTTAAAGATGGAAAAATCAGAATATCCGGTATCCTTTCTCCTAAAATAATCACTTTAAATGATATCGGAGACATCGATGATATCACGTCAG